ACAGGAGAGGAGTTGAACCAGACTTAATTAAAATCGAGATCGTGTTGCGAGCGGGCCGCGTTTCGGAATACCTCGTGACCGAGTCGAGAGTTTGAAAACTCGAGCCGAGAAAATGAAACGATCCAAGTTTCATATTCCGACGGCGTTCAACGCAAAGTTATCTAACCTTTGCGACAAACGGCTCGAAAGATTGCCCGCTTGTGAAAGGAATTTAAAGTGTACCCGGCTTCCTTTTGTCGCGTTTTTTCCCCGCTGGTTCCATGTATTCCTTGACGTCTCGTTCGCGAGTGCTGCCGGAAAGTACGTCGCAAAATATTGCTCGACGAAACGCAAACTTTTCTTGTTCCTCTGGAGAGAGAGAGAGACAGACAGACAGACAGACAGAGAGACAGACAGACAGACAGAGAGAGAGAGAGAGAGAGAGAGAGAGAGAGAGAGAGAGAGAGAGAGAGATTTTTCATCTTTAATCGCGCTGCAGTGGCAACGTTATTCTTTATTCCCCGCGCTGAAAACGTACGCGAGAGTCGAACCGAACGCACGAGTGGTATTTCATCCTGTCGACGCGAGAAGAACTTACAGTGAATGGGTCTATCTTCCACGATGACGAGTGGTGTTTGGAAAATGGAATTTATACATTGGTATCTCGTATATACTGTCGGTCCCATAAATATTCGTACCTTCCGTGTCTATTATAAGAATTCGCCTAAATTGAGCGATGGGTTTGACGCTTACTGTTTAGTTCGTTTCGAATCTAATTCGAAAATTCCAATATTTGTCACAAGAGGGGTGGGGGAGAAGGGCGACGAAAAAGAAACGAGGGAAGAAGTGAAAAGTATTTTTCCGGGTGAGCGAAGAACGCTTCCGGCGTCAGCCATTAACGCTCGATTAGAAACGTATCTTTCGTAAAATTACCCTTCCGGCTTTGCCGTTCGAACCGCCCCGGAAACTTCGTCTTTGGTTAACAGTGGGGCGGCGTCTCGCCGTTCCTTCTCGCTTCCGGTTGCGTCCACCCACTCGACGAATTTGTTTAAACAGCGATGTTTTCGCAATAACGAAATTATTCTAAATCGCAGAATAAATATTCGTACCCTCTATCGAAGAAATTAGTTTGAATTAAATAGTAGCTTTGATGTTTCCAAACGTATGTTTACACGAATCTAAACGTACATCTAATATACAAGCTTATTCACATTATAGATACTTGTGACGAAACGTTCATTTGGTAAGATCGAAGCTATTATTTAATTTAGTCAAACTTCTTCGACAGAGAAGCGAGAGTACGAATATTTATTCTGCGATTTAGAATAATTTCGTTGTTCCGAAAACATTTTGCTCCTAACGATAGAGAGATTTATAGACGCATTTCTGGACTAACGTTGCGGTACAGGCTGCAGACTGCGACAACGTGGACCGAGTTTAACGAAGCGATACAGTTTAACGCACCCTCGCCGTGCCAATGGAACAATTTCGCCCTAACGATGGTCCGAGTGCTCGCTACAATTTCACCTAATGTCGTTCCGCTCGAGGCGCTCGGAACGCATTCTGCGTGCTACTTTGTTGCGCTTGTACCCGGAACTATTTGCGGTGTCTTGACGAGCGTTTCAGCGTTTACGGTTCCACGAGCGAGTTGAACGATCGAGGCTCTAACCGAATCGATATCAACGCGTAACTCGATATTTCTTTGTTAACAATTAAACTCGGAACAATAATTCGAATATAACAGAAACTGTATTCGTTGAAGTTCCGCGAACGTCTGACGACGGTGTAATCGATCACCGTCTTGTTCGTCTTCGATATTACGCAACCGGCCACGATTCGATATATTATCCATGTTACTGCTCGTAACGATCTAATTGCAGTCGGAGGTGGGCTAGCATTCCAGTCGAATATTAGAATCGTTTCTGCTTTAAACACGCGAGTTTAATAAACGTCCGCTTGGCTCCTTTCGTCCCCTCTGTCCCCAGCCGCGTCTTCCTTCCCGTCGTCCCATTTTCCCCGGTTCTTCCGCAGCGTTCCTTTGGCGAGGGCGTAACAGGCTGTAATTGAAAAATACCTCGGGCGCTTTGACACGGTCCTCGTCCCTTTCATTCGCGCCGAATGTCGCCTCCTCGCCGCTGGAGAACGGTGAAACCGAAGAAAATACACACGTAATACGCGCGTCGAGGTAAGGTTCCGCGACAACTCCGAGGAGCCGAAGAAGAAAGCAGCCGCGTAAACCTCGGCCGTCGCGACGCGCGCCTCGGTGGCCTAATTAGGAGCCGTTGCATGCCTCAAAGCGACGATAGACCGGCGCACAAAGCCGCGTAGGATGCGCCCGACGAAATGTCCCTAGGTGAAATTCCTCATTACGACTCCGCGCGACGAGCCAGCCGTGCTCTAACGCGCACTCGTTACCGAATTCCCTCTCTCTTCCATTCCTGTTTCTTACCCTACGTTTCTCGAGAGTTCATTAAAATCGAGACTCGTCCATCGGCATCGGGGCCTCGGTTTCTTTCCTATTGTTATGCTCGTTTTACCGTCTGTTCCAGCCTACGCAACGCGAGAAATTTGTTAGGATGTTTATGGCACAGGGCTATTTTTTTTTTTTTTTTTTTTAAGGAGTAGGATTAGTCGGAGTCTTTTTACAAACAGCGATGATAGATAGTAACGAGGTTGTCGTAACCTCTTCGTGGACGAGTTTTCTTCGCGCTTCTCTGGTAGCTCCAACTGTACGTCGGAAATTGTCAGTGCGCAGCCAAACTATATTTTTACTCCTCTTGTCGAAGGGATTCTGTAGCGAATAAGTTACTATCAAATTTTTGTTCTTTTTATTATAGACAGTCACACGAGCGAAGAACGGCCATCGTCGACCCTTCTTCTTTCCGCGAGAAATTCGTTGCGAATCTATTCGACCGTTCCACGTATAAACAACGCCAGGGTATCCACTGCTGCCAGAGTAAGAAAGAGCTTCAACGGCGAAGGGTAGTTTTCTAATGGAGAAAGGCGAGAGAGCCGTTCGCGCTTCCGTCGAAGTTGCACAAAAAGATGTTATCGGGCGAGGAAGCCGGTGGCGCGTTTCCAATGTGAAAGGGACCGGGGTTCGGGTCGTGTACGCGCATATAAAACCGCTTCCTTTGTACGTGTCGTCACAATATACGCGATTCGTCGAGGTCGTCGCCGTCGTCGTCCATGCACCCTACTCGTTCCACGAACGAGGGCTCCTTAACCTACTTTATCCCGAGAGGAGCCGACTCCGCGGATCTTAGCTAAACATCCCTTGTTCTGTCCAATCGAAATTGGATTAAAGCCATTCCGCGGTGCTCGGTATATCGTGGCCCGTGGATATCGTCCCGCGATCGGTTCGATTTTCCACAGGAGTCCCCGGTCGGCGTACAATTTTAATGGACAGCCAGTCGGAATCGTCGGACCGATGTTCTTGGCAAATGGAGAGCCGGCTTTTACCCGACGAAATTACGCCCACTCTCATTATACCAGCGTAAAATTACGTTTGTCCTGGAAACCCAGTTAAAAGGTCCTGTTCGCCGGAGCTGACGCTTCTGCTCGCGTCCGCATCGCGATTATTATTATTATTATTATTATTATGAAGAATTGTAGTAGAGCGCCTAGGTCAGGAACACCAAGCTTTCGTCATTGTATCCCCATCAGATATAATAAGACGAAGTATGGAAAAAGCCAAGGGCGAAAAAATAAGGAATAAGATAAGTGCAATAGCAAATAGGGGAAGCGAATAATCAGTAGCTCCCCAGCTGAGCACTATAAATTCAACAAACAAAACATTGCATCCCTATCACCTCAGTTAATCGTCCGAGGTGATCGTGGCGAAACTGTGAAAGGAAGCAATTCTGCCTAACTAAAGTTACATCGGAGCCAAAACGAACGCCACGAGCCAGAGGATGTTGAGAAATGCTGACTTACGACGGAACCGCGTCCTGTCTAGCCATATCGATGAATTCAATGAACATTGTAACGCGGAAGCCCTCGCGTATCGTGTTAGATTAATCTTGGAAGCCATCCCTTGTATCGCGGTAACGGGTCGAGGTAACGAGAGATGCTTGATCGATTTGGCATACGTATCGTCGATACGCGGCCCCGATAAACAGATCGAGGAATTTAGGGGTTGCACGGGGATTACCCCTAACGCCGGCAGAGGCGAAACTTACGCGCCGTAACTTCCGGCGCGGATCGAGCAACGTCGATCGAGAATTGCGCTCGAGTCGACGATGAATGTTGCAACGATACGTTCGGTAATATCGATTTCCGCGTATTGTATTATAATTTAGTCAAACCTCTTCGACAGACACAGAGGGTACGAATATTTATTCTTGCGATTCAGAATAATTTCGTGGTTGCGAAAACATTTTTCTCCTAACGATAGAGAGATTCATAGAGGCTTTCTAGCCGTAGTTTGTCGTTACTCAAAGTATCGCGCTTTGTTTAACCCCTTTCTTTATAATAAATAGAACAAAGTTGGGTTGCAAGGGTCAACATCGAGGGAGAAATGACGAAACAAGAGTTGAATGTTTCACGCAGCATTTGCCAGCTATAATATATTCAGATGTATACAGGGTGTCCCAAAAGTCGGGGAGGAGCCGGAAATAGGGGGTAGCTGAGACGATTCTGAACGACAATTTCCTTTGCGAAAATGTCGGATGGGGCTTCGTTAAGGAGATATCAAGAGAAAACATTGACCAATTAGAGCGCGCGTAGACCGTTGGAGCGGCCGCGGTAGCGAAGGCTACGGCGCTGAGCGGCCGCGTCGATATCCTTCGATGCACGTCGAGTCACTTGTTCGCGTACGAGAGCGGCTACCTAGCGCGTAGCCTTCGCTACCGCGGCCGCTCCCAACGGTCTACGCGCGCTCTGATTGGTCGGAGTTTTCGCTTAATATCTCCTTAACGAAGCCCCATCCGACATTTTCGCAAAGGAAATTGTTGTTCTGAATCGTCTCAGCTAGCCCTCACTTCCGACTCCTCCCCGACTTTTGGGACACCCTGTACATTGATACACAAATACAAGTAATACCACCAATGAATACAAGTCCAGCAGTTGCAGGCGAGAGTAAAGCGTCGTTTAATATTAGAGAAATTGTGTCTCTTTAATCTCACAGAAGACAAGGTCAAAGCTCAGCACATGGTGATCTCGCAGAAGTACGGGAACGTGTTGTCGCACTGGATGTCGTCCATTCCGCCGTGTTTTCTCAGAAGAATCGCGCAGTTCTGACGACCACCCGCGTTGTCTGGATCGTTCGGGATCGCTGGAGTCCACCTGTCGTAGCCAGATTTCTCCAGCGACTCGCCCATGACGGTCATCCAGTCGCCTTCCTCGAACAAGTCGTGTATACCTAGCCAAGCGTTGTCGATGTTCGCAGCCTGCATACTTTTTATCAGAACTGCTTCCTCGGCCAACGAGTTCGGGACGACCAGGTAACCTATCGAACAGCGTTCATTTAACCCTTTGCACTCGAGAGTGCACTCTCAGTCATAGCTTTTCTTTAGGTTTGATTTCTTTGGAACTCGGAATGTCAATAACACGATTGTCGTTGAGGCAAAGGTGACTCGATTCTCGTATCTCGAATTAGAGATCTCATTCGAGAAGTGAATCTAAGTTTAGCATTCGTGACAACAGAATGCTAAGAAAGCATCTCGAGTCGCCGATAGAGAGCAGAAAACAAGATCTCGAGTGCAAAGAGTTAACTTTCGTTCGCGTTCACGTACACCAGAGACGTTTGAAATCATTGACCGTATAAAAATTTCCAATGTAGATTCGTTCCAACAACGGATGGCGATAACACATCTCTATACGAGCTTTTATTTCCTAACTATTTTTATCGGAATTCGATAAAAATAATTCTTTTTGTATCCAGACGAAATCCATATCTGATACCATCGGGAGGGAACGTATCGGTAAAACGTAACCCAAATTAAGCTAAAATTTAGATAAATCTTTTTTCGATTCGCATCACCTCCTTCGTTCTCGCAGGACTTGCGCGCAGCGTTCCATTTCAGCTTGCGAGTGTGCAGCTTATGGGCTCCTATCCCGGGCGTGACAACGTAGTCGTCCCTCGGTAAAACGTTCGTGCAATTAGGTTTAACGCAATTCGTCCATGGCGCCCATCCGACACCGTAAAATATCTGTTGGTTAGCCTGGTAATTCCTGTCTCCGTTCAAAGTAATCGTCGGCGTCGGTTGCAGGGAACCTGGAAGAACGCTTCGATCTTTTTACGCGTTCCTCCTGTAAGCTGAGAACGGCGAGAACCATAATTCAGTCTCGAGTTTAATCGAGCGGAATTGGTTCGAACTGGGATATCAACGTTCCATCGTGGAGACGATCGTTTGGTAAAATAAATGTTTATTTAATACGTCCAGATAAATATCACGATACAATTGAATCGTGATTCAATCGTGATTCTATTCGCGTTCAGGGCGCTCTCGGTAAAGCATCGAGTCTGTTTATGCTTGGTAGATATCGTTGCGTCTTTCAACGCCGACAACCACGAACAAATTAAATATAAAATAAAATTAAAGATACAACAGTCGCGGAGTTACCTTTAGAAATAGGCGCGAGCTCCGAATCCGAGCTCATGTTGTCTGGCAACACGCGGGCCAAGGCTCCGCTCGCAAACACGAGGAGAATTAGCTTCAACATCGTGCTTCGAAAAGAACAAAAATATACATGTCGAATCGAGTAACCTCCTCCTTGTCGAAGTCGGTTAAAAACGTTATCGATGACCGAATATGGAACAACTGAACTCCGAGTGAAAGCTTCAAAGCGACACAGTCTATTCACTTACGACGAACGTTGACGTCTCGTTGACGAGCCGAACGACGAAGATTAACTGAACGTGTCGCGGACGTTCGTCAGCTTTTTATGCCGTTGCGTCGCGTACACGCACGCATCTGCTCTTTGTCTGTCGGACAATCCGGCCGGGGAGCCTTGAAATCGAAAGATCACGTTCAGCTGGACCTGCAGCTTTATTTTTAAAACGTCAGGGTATTCCCCGCATCTTTGAGATATGACGCATTCTTTGGCGCATGACTTCTTGACAAAATAAATATCTTTCCCCGCTGATAAGAGTTATCCGCGATGGGAACAACCAGATGTTGCCGCGAAACTTTGGTACGATGACTTCCGTAGTGCGTAGCATCGACACGATTAAACGATCGAATAAAAGACAAAGGAAAAGGAAGACACGAAGTAGATATTCGAGGGTAAATTGAATCTCTAATAAAAATAAAAAGAGTACAACTTGTTCGCTTGCAAAGCTGACTTTATTCTTCGAGAGAGGTATCAAAAGCGCAATCAGTCGCGGGGGAAATGTAAGCTTGGTTCAAGAAATTGAATAAACAATAGCGCAGATTCGTGCTCGCGGTAGAGGCTCAGCACATGGTGATCTCGCAGAAGTAGAAGAACAAGCTTTCGCACTGGATGTCGTCCATGCCACCGTGCTCGCCCATGAGAATCGCGCAGTTCTGATGTCCTCCCGCGTTGTCTGGATCGCCTGGAATCGCTGGAGTCCACCTGTCGTAGCCAGACTTCTCCAACGACTCGCCCGTGACGGTCACCCACTCGCCCTCCTCGAACAGGTCGTGAATACCTAGCCAGGCGCGATCTACCTTGGCTGCCTGCAGCCACTTGAGCAGGACGGTTTCCTCGTCCAACGAATTCGGAACGGCCAAGTAACCTGTCGAGCAAAATTGATTAGTTGTCTCCGATAAGAAGCGTATCCGTTTCTAACCCGTGGAATTAATTATCGTTTCGGTCACCTCCTTCGTCCATGCAAGCCTTGCGCGCGACGTTCCAGTTCTGCTTGCGAGTGTGCAGCTTGTGAGCTCCTATCCCCGGAGTCACTATGTAATCGCCTCTCTTCAAAACGTTGGTGCAACTTCTGTTGCATTTATCGCAATTATAGCCGGACGACCTTTCGGCGTAAAATGTTTGTTGGCCAGCCTGGTAATTGTTTTGACCGTTCATGGTAATCACCGGCGGCTGGGAACCTGAGAAACCGTCTGCGAAAAAGTATATTCGTCTCCCTCTATTACGCTCTATCTATACCAACGTCTATCGCAGAAATGTTCGCGTGCGCGTCTAGTCTCTCTTAGTGAACTACAACTGGTCCTCGAAGAGTTTGAAATTCGAAAAACGTGCCTCCGCTAGCTGCGTGGACGAGCGACGTTGCGTAACACGACGACACAGCGACAGAGTTTAATCGAGCGCAATTAGTTACAATTGGATCGCCTACTGCGAACTTGTTAAAGTAGCCAGAAGGAATCTTTCCGCGTTAACTTGTATCGGTAGCTGTAAGCTACTCCCAAGATTAATTCCCCGATGTACCGTTTGTTAGATTCCGATTTATTTCGAAGTTCGGTTTCTGCTACGATTCGGTACTTAGAAACTAGATTACCGCTACGTTCCTACTTCTTGTTCGATTGCGTTATGAAAAAGCTCGGGAGAGCAGTTTCGGTGTGCCTTTTAAAGGTTTGTGTTTAAGGATTCAGAAGGGTGGTGGTGGAAACAAGGGGAAGGACCAACGAGAATCGTAGGATGTCAAGGAGTCGGTCGTGTTATTCGGAGTTTGTAAGGGTACAAGGGTCGGATGCGTAGTTGGTGTATGGACGGATGACTAGGTTTGGAACTTACAAATATTTACTTATCCCATGAGGATAAAACTACCGACTGACATAAAGTAACGAAGATTAGATGGGTACGGTACAGAAGGTACAGATTAACCTAAACGATGTCCAACGCCTCTCTCCTTAAGATCGAAGGGTAACGGACAGGTAAGAGCGAGCGACAGTGAAAAGACAGTGAGAGAGACAGTGAGAGAGACAGTGAGACTCCGGAGAACGTGGTACGCGAGGATCGAAGCCGAATTTCGGCGGGACCCAAGCACATTTCGTCGGAGTGACATAAGTTTGACCAGGCCACGCTAGAGCCGGCTACATTGGGGTCTTCCCCAAGAAAGAGTGGGGCGCGTGCTTGCTATTTAAGGGCGGAAAATGCTACGCCACGGGCAGAACAGGAAAAGCGAAAGAAGAAGAGACCGCGAGCAAACGTCGGGAAAATCGGAAGAACAGTTAATAAAAGCGCGGTTAATAAAAATCTATCCAACTAGCATTTATGTGTCTTACAGACAATAATTAATATAAATTACATACGTGAATTTTTCATTTTTAAAGGTATTAGTAAACCTAGGGCGGTATTCAACATATTCTAGAATGCTTAATCGACCTTTCGTTACCTTTATAGGTGCGAGGTGGCGGCTTCGGAGATTTATCGAGTAGTATCCTGGTTTGGTTTCCGATTAGATGCAAGCCTGTGTCGATGCCTGTCTCCGCGAACGTTTCGATCGCGTCTGGCATTACGAAGCCAAATATGTCGCTCGTAAAGACGAGGAGTATCAAAAGTTTGTCGAGCATGGCGTCGATTCTACACGATCGCCTAATCTTTCAGTGCGTTTCGAAAGGCTTGGCGAACCTCAGCGCTTCGTATGTTTGCCGTCTGCCTCGGTAGCGACGTATTACTGTAGACGCCAGGAGCGGTCGCGAGCCTCTTATGCCGCGCCTGTCGTCTTCCTTTTTCGACTGTTTCCTTCTTTCGTCTCGCGTCCTGCCTTTAAGGGATACCACGAACCTGACAGATTTTTTCCAGAGCTTCTCCCTCTCGCTTTAAACCCGTTTGATCTGCACGCGGCTCCCGATAACTCGCGGGGAGCACTCGTCGATGTTCGGTGATTAAAATCGGGTTTTCCCTCGAGTCTATACAGCTCTGTCCATTTACGACGAACGTGCGAACTTCGTCGCGAGAAGGCTGCCCCGTTGGTGGATTAATCCACTCTCGAGCGCGCGCCTGTTTCTATCCCTCTTCAGCCAAACAAATCGCTTTCCACGAGCTGAGAACGCGGCAGAATACGCTTTCTGCAGTTTCGATCCGTCACCCCGTGAGTTCTTCGCGTTGCAAGAGCTGTAGAGAAGTACGCAAACGCGGGTAGCCGTGGCTGGGAGAAACGCGACGGACGAGTATAAACACTAAACCTGTTTCTATCATTTTTTCCGCAAGCTGGACACGCACGGTCTCGCGTTCAAGGGAACATCTTTGCAACCGACGCGCGTCTCGGTATTCTTCATAGAGGGCTGATTATTTGATTTCGGATCGTTTGTAGGAAGGAATTGAAGCTAGGAGCAATAGAGACAATCACCGCAAACAAAAGCACAGCTATCGATGGCTCGTGTTTGTATATTTCCAAACAAGTTGGCAATCGCTCTTTGAACAAGTTACAATTTCTTTCATGGCTCGTAAAGGAGCAGAAGGAAATATCGTCAGTCTCGGGGTTTAGGATTTCTTGCTGGTTTAACGCTAGATTTACCGACATCGAAACTATGCTATATGGCAGCTCGCAGGGAGTTTACAAAGTTCTCCAGTCGCGCGATCCTTCGACTGAATATTCTTGATGATCATCCTCGATGTACGACAAACTGTGGTATGTTTATGCAAATTAAAGCTTAAATAGAAGCGTGTCCTATTCTTTAAACAAAATGTATTTTATTCTCGATATTTTATATATATTTTTGTCGTTCGTGAGCAATCTCATAGATTTCTCCCTTGTTCGCTATAAATGCATAAACATCCGCAGTCCCGCGATCAGCATATGTCGATCTCGCAGATGAATCCGTGGCGTAAGACACAGTCGACGTCGTCCAAGCCGCCGGACTGCACGAGAACTCCACAGTTCTGATGGCCACCGAAATTGTCGGGCTCGTTCGGCCACATCGTAGTCCACTTGTCGAAACCAGCTTTTTCCAAACTCTCGCCCGTTAGAGTGACCCAGACACCCTCGGAAAACAGATCGTGAACGCCTACCCAGGCTTGATCGACGTCCGCGGACACCATGAACTTTAGCAGGACGCTCTCCTCGGCCAACGAGTTCACGATGGCCAAGTGACCTGTCGGACAAACCTTGTTTACTTCGTTCTTTCGACAAACGCAATTCACCGCGACGAGACGGCCGCGGAAACGTTGGCTCGTTTCGTTAACCCTTGAACGCCCCAAGTTTCAAACTCGATACCGGTTTTTTACATCGAATCGCACCGCGAATGCGATCGCAACGCGAACTAATCTGTTTCTAATATTTGGCTGTTTGTACGTTACCGTTACGCGTAATGTTTTCTCGACCAAAAGTTAACCCTTTGCACTCGAGGGGCGAGTGTCAGTCACCACTAGGTTTCGCGTAGCAAATCTACCAGCAACAACGTTTCTTTAGGTCTAATTTCTTTGGAACCGGAAGTGTCAATAAAATAACATCTTCGAAGTCGATCGAAGCTTAGCATTCGTGCCAATACTGAATGTAGAACGTAGAGTGCTGGTAGATACAAAAAGAAGAAAAAAGAAAGAAAAAGGTCTCGAAAAAGGTCTTGCAAAGGGTCGAAACAATAAACGTCAGCTGTCGAAATTGTTCGAATAACGAATACATTGATATTATTTAAATGTAATTTGGAAAATCGGGCTTCCAAGGGTTAACGGTCCGTGTCGCGTTCCGTACGAATCGTTCGCGTCACCTCCTTCGTCCATGCAAGCCTCGCGTGCGTCGTTCCACCTTATTCTACGCGCGTGCAATTTGTAAGCCCCGATGCCTTCGTTGAGAACGTAGTCGTCCCTGGGTACGAACGTCGTGCAGTTCCTTTTGGAACCGTTCGGAGACCAGGTGACGTAAAATATCTGCTGGGTAGCGTGGTAATTGTTCTCGCCGCTCATGTTTACTATAGGCTGATTAGAATCTGGAAAAAGGTATCGTTTACTGCGTACGAAGAACAGCTTCGTTCGCCGCAACAATTCGAATCGGGATTTGTTGCGACGTTCGGAAAACCGCGACGATCGCGAGCCGGCGATAACGACGAGATTATTAAGAATTCCAATTACGGTAAATTGCTTAACGCAGACAATTGCGCGCGGGATCGCAGACGTTATTGGCTCGATGTTCTCGCTGGATAAGTCGTATTAACCGCGACGAGGTAAACTGTCGATGCAGATACTCGGCAAATTAATTACGTCCGTCAACATTTTCTATTTATAGCATCGATTGCCATTCGATTCCATCTACGTTGCATAAAATACGAAACAGCCGAGACTGGAAGGCCCAAGTCGCCATTTCGACATTATAGAAAGAATCTTCGACACTTTCACCCGATTCGAAACGTGGTTTCATAGGTGGTACCCTACGTTTCGCGAATGCTTTCAACAGTGTTGTCCTGTCTTTTGGAAACTCGTGCGAGATACAGTGTCCGGGAACGGTTTCAGCTCGCGCTCGCTTTAAAATTTCATTTACGAGTGAGAAGTACCGATCGCGCGCTGTTGACCGCCAAGGGAGCACTGATTCAAAGAGCCGAACCAAAGTTTGGGTAAATACACCGGTCAACGCGCGAAAAAGATGTTTTTTTCTGTTTTTTTACAGCAGCGTAGAGTGTGAACTAACGCTTCGTCCAGTCACTGGACGTCGTACCATTTTTGTTCGAAGGCAGCCCAGTCAGAAAGTGTAAAGTTCCGTTGACTATCGTCGATTGATTCTGCCCGAATATCTGAGCCTTGGCGGTATCCGTTTGCGGCATTACAGCGCAAAATATTCCGCTGGTAAGAGCGAGAAGCGCCAGCAACTGCTTGTACATAGCGTCGTGTTTTCGAACCAGTTTCCTATAACCGTGTCGCCTTTGACCGACCTCTTCTGCAACCTGGTGTAGTTGGTACTTTTGAAACCCGTTCAAGGTTTACAAGTACTATCTAGATTGATTTGTTCCGACGCTTCACTTCGTAGAATTAACGTTGTCAACGTGTTAAATGACACGCGCAAACGACACACCGTTGCGGGACGGTGGTTTACGTAGCGACTGATCGCGCCAGTAACGTTCGCGGTCATTTTATGCTGTCCGTGTCTCTTTCCTGCCGCAGTTTTTCTCTCGCCTCGTGCGTCGGGTGAACAAACCGAACAAACATTGCAAGTTTATCGTTAAGGAGGACCTTGGATTCGAGAGGTCGCGTATGCAAATGCCCGTCCTCTTACGCGCGGCTTTTTATCTGCGCGCGCCACGGAATTTCCAACGCTCCTGGTTACGGAACGTTATTCCCCACTGACAAGGAACATCCGGGAAGAGGCATCGATTCCTGTTAAACTTTCATCGTAACTCTGACGTTACTCGTGCCACGGACGAGATTCTCAGGCGAGCTCCATCGCCTTTGTTTCGAAATTAACCGTCGTTCTTTTTTTTTTTTTTTCGCGAACGCGACAAAAAGGTACTATTGCGACGTTACTACGAGCAACGAAAGTATCGCGACAGCGAACGAGCGAGCGATTCGACGTATCGGTCCCGTTATCGTCGCTAGGCGTCAACGAATCGTCGGATTCACGATTGGAAGTAACCAAATAACGCGCGCGTCAGTGTTTTCGGAGATAATAACACGCATCTCGTACGTGTTTCGCGCGTCTGTATTCGTCGATGTTACTCGGTGACGGATCTTTTCGTTTCGTGTCTTTTCAGCGCCGATCCTGTTTGTTAGCGAAACAGAATCTACGGGAAAGGGTGATACCGAAAACGAATAACGACTGATTGGGAGTCGATTAGTTTCAATTGTTAACTATGCGATTGTTTCGTGCAATTTTTCAACACTCTTTCACCTTAATTCTGATACATTTTCCATCGTATCCTAATAATTCGCGCCTAATCTTTGCGGCGCGAATCGTAGCATTGTCTGTCGCGTACGTCCTGTTTATCCATTTATTACGTCGTACATTTTTTATTATCTATTCGACCAGATATAAAACACATGTCGGTTTCGATACGAAGTTTTGCGCACATCTAAATATATCGCGACACCGCCCCCCACCCCCCCCCCTCCCACGATCCTTCTGTTTATCGAAATCAACCGAATCAAAAAGAAAAATGGAATTTTACCAAAAATTAATTGCGAAAGTTAACGCATATTTTAGTTCATACGAGTTACGTTCAATTTCATTCGTGGATTATTTTAGAAGTTAATTATGTTAAGTGTTTCGAACTAGAAAAATGGAAGAACGGACTCCCCGACAAATATTTCGCTCCTGTCTCGCGAGAATCAAGCAACGACGTAGTCATCTACGATATTTACACGATATCGTGTACCACGTTCTACTACGTCGTCAAGCACAGAGTACGTGACGGTTTAAAGACGATCGTTTTACCTATATCTACACATACATAGACGAGCACAGTCGCGATGAGACGAAATGCCGGCAATCCTTGCGATAAAGAAAAATTGTAGGAGAAACCACAATGTTCGGTCCGAAATGACAGAGCGAACCTCGAGAGTGTCGCCGAAACGGTTGGGAGCAAAGGGAGGGTCTAAACCGCGCGTAGAAGGGAAAAATGGATTTACAGCTGCGAATTGTCGCGCTCGCGACACCGGAAAGCAGGTTAGGGGACTTTTTACGGGGCTTTTCCATTTGCGGTTGTCGCGGTCGCGTATCGCCCTCCGTTGGGACGCGGTATCGTCTGACCGATCCCTGCAGGCAGCTGGATATTCGAACGGGTTCGTATATTTGCCAGCGAGCCTCGAATAATCGAGGCAACGCGTTATATATCGGTTTTGGCCCCTAGCTAGGACGTCGAGGGGAACAGGACCATCGAAGGAACCGTGACTGACGCGTTGGCAATTATGATAACAACACCGGTCGCGATAATGGAATATCGGAACGAAATGGAATCGTCGATTTAACCCTTTGCTCTGCGAGACTTGCTAGGAACGAAAACGAACCGTTCCAGGTTGCGCGAGGTACGACTGGATCAATTTCCCAAGATGTTTGATAAACGATCGTAAACGAACCGTGAGCGAACGAGAAAAGGTGTGTCTATTAGAAAGACACGATTCGAGGAAAGGGTCCATTTGTTTAAGTATTCTATTGGTTATTTGAGTAAATCGCAGAAGCACGAGCGAACGAAATATACGGAAATGATTAGAATTAAAATATACAGGGTGTCCCAAAAGTCGGGGAGGAGCCGGAAATGGGGGGTAGCTGAGACGATTCTGAACGACAATTTCCTTTGCGAAAATGTCGGATGGGGCTTCGTTAAGGAGATATTAAGCGAAAACCCCGACCAATCAGAGCGCGCGGATACCGATGGAGCGGCCGCGGTAGCGTAGGCTACGCGCTGGCGGCCGCGCTTGCGCGCGAACAAGTGACTCGACGTGCATCGAAGCATCGACCTAGCGCGTAGCCTTCGCTACCGCGGCCGCTCCATCGGTATCCGCGCGCTCTGATTGGTCAATGTTTTCTCTTAATATCTCCTTAACGAAGCCCCATCCGACATTTTCGCAAAGGAAATTGTCGTTCAGAATCGTCTCAGCTACCCCCCATTTCCGGCTCCTCCCCGACTTTTGGGACACCCTGTATATTGCAAATGTGCACGTAGCCATTGGCGGGTCGGGCAAAGGTGGCGTTGCTTTGTTTGTATAAGGATTCGGCGCTCTTTTCGCGGCACGCAACCATCGCCATCCTTTTTGCTTAACTGCTTCACGGAGAGCGTCGTCGACAACGGTGGACGTAACAGTCGGTCAGAAACAGTCGGTCAAAAACAGTCACTCGATCAGAGGATTTCGAGGCAGTCGGTTGAAATGAAAATCGTTTCCATCCTGAAGCCCTCTCGCAATTTACTCTATTCAATATACGTATCGGATCGATACAGAAGAATTGCTTCTCGAGTAAAAATTGTCGAAGAGGCGACCTACCTGTTAATACTTGATTAAAACTGAAGCACTCGGTGTAATTATTTTCGCGAGTCGTTGGAAGGGTGGCCGCTCCAGAGCGGAATGGTGACGTTGACCAGAGTAGATGTTTTGCCTCGGAACATGGTTTTCACCGACGATGCGAATTGTTGACAACGGAAGAAAAAAAAAAAAAAAAACGAGCAACTTTGGCGCAAACAAGTTTTTACCGAGACGTCGGACGAAGTAGTTCGAGATGAAAGTAAATGGAACACCGCGGCCCGCGGTTTCATATGAAACTTTTCCGAGTGGTAAAGTTCCTTCCACTCGATAAAAGATGTATGGCCCGAACCATGAGAATCATTAACGAGAACCTAGCTCTCTTCTCGTTGACATACATACTCGCAACACTCCGCGAGGAACTCCATCGTTGGATAATACGACAGATAATCTCACTACGAGTCTCACGCGCCGTAGGGCAAAGAATTAAGGCGTACCAAGGCTCGAGACTCTCGTTTATTTCTTTTACGGTGAGAGAAAAGGACCGGAGGAACCTAAAACTCTGTACCACCGAGTCTCGGGCGTTGATATAGGTTCAAAGATTAAGTAAATATCACGATTACTGTCGAATAGCACGTTACGCGCTACCGAATATTTGATTTCCGCGCAAGGATCGAGCAAGAAACGGAAACCATACGTTGTTGACCGAGCGTAAAGCTCGAAGCTCTTAAAAGGGAATCTCGAGTTGGAACTTCCGTGGATCTCGGTTCTCCAGAGGAAATGTTGAACTCGGCTGAATTCGGAGCCGATTGCGGTTTTTTCCGCGCAATTTTTCCGGACCGTCTCGGAATCCAGCGGTCGGTGTCAGCTCCCGATGGAATAACATCGGACGCCGATGCAAAACCCTCGGCAAATTGGCAACCGCCCGCGCATCTACATACATTACGTATACACTTCAAAAATCGAACGGTCCTATTGACTTTGGAAGTCCAAACGATCCCGTCGTTCCACCTAAAGCCAGCCAACGAGAGGAGAGACTGTTGAATCGTTTCCAATCTAAAGAAAAGCGGATATAATAGCGAAGGGAGCAATTGGTGCTAAACTTTCTGCGAGAAAATTCACCATTTAATCCTTTCAATCTAGCTGTTGTTTCGTCTGTATTCTAAATGAACGTGATTCGCTTTTTTTTTTTTTTTTTTTAAAAAAAGTTTATTAAACCAATTAAAATAATCGCGCGCATGGGTGGAGCCGACGAGCTCAGACGACGTCGATCTCGCAGATGTAGAAGTGGTGCAGAGTACACACGACGTCGTCGAGGCCGCTGGCTTTTACGAGGACTCCACAGTTCTGGTTCCCTCCGTAATTGTCGGGCTCGTTCGCGAACGCCGTGGTCCATTTGTCGAAGCCAGCTTCTTCCAGCGACTCGCCCGTAAGAGTCACCCAGTCTCCCTCTTCGAATAGATCGTGTATACCTAGCCAGGCTTCCGCGATGTTCTGCTGCTCCATATATCGCAGCAGCACGCTCTCCTCGGCCACCGAGTTTATAATAGCCAAGTAACCTATCGAACAATATCCACTCGTTTTAACGCGTCGACCGTCGAACCGACTCGCGCGAAAATCGGAATGAGAATTTTGTCTCGCGACAATTGATAACTGTAGAATCTGGACGTATTTTTATAAAAATTTAAGAATTCTATACAAGATCTCTTTTCGTGAACACTTAGGCCTTAAAATGAATCGTTCAAGTGCCTTAAGGAAAAGCCTCTGAAAAGAACGTCGCCCACATATGGGTGACACAGTCTAATTTTATTCCAGTGAAACGTACCCACTGGAAATATTAATAAAAATGTTAACTTTCGGATCAATTTTTCCTCGGTATCTCCGCAACACCTGCAACCTCTAATAAATAGTTTGCTTCTTCACCTCCGTCTCTCATGCAGGTCTGGCGAGCCGCGTTCCACTTGAGCCTCTTGTTAAACAGCTTGTGAGCTCCGATGCCGCGCGTGATGGTGTACCCTTCTTTCATCTTCGCGTCGTTCGGAGTACCGCGTTGCCGGCCGTTAACGAAAAACGACTGCTTGTCCGCGTCGTAATTGTTTTGGCACTGCACGGAGTCCGCGGACGAGCGACCTGTAACGAGGGTTTGCCACGCGATGAGTTTCCATACACGCGAGTTTCGATTTCGCGCTGTGGACCACTCCGTGGTCGCGTTCGTTGCGGTGCTCTCTCGGCGATTGATATAGACGTTTTATTTGACTGTTTTATACAATGATTCGTCGTAATCGTAACCGGTACCTGAGTCGTAAGTTTCGCCGGTGACGGACGCCACGTCGCTAAGCATTCCGTTCAAAAAGGCGAGGACGATTACCGTGAGCTTGAACATCTCGGAGACAACTTGTACGGTCGACCTATCGACAGAAATCAAAGGGAACCGGTATTAAAAGAAACAGAGCCAAGAATCGAGCCCGGTCGCGTCTTGTTCGCACTGTTGTTTCGAGGTGCGCGTCTACCAAAAGACGAAAAGAGTGCTTACATACGACCGACCGTTTATTTTCCCGCCAGCTTTCTCTCAAAGTTACGGTATTCGAATAGTCCTCCGGTGTTTACGAGGTGGTAAAATCTGCGCGTTGGCTGTCGAGGAAGGAACCACCGACTCCCGTGGTCGGCGAACTTTAACTGACCAACCTCTATCGTCGCTCGCGGCTTGCTTCATCTTTATATTCTTTCTTCTCCTCGATCGTCGATGCCATTGCACCTTTTTGCTCTTATCCGAGAGCAGCCTGATCAAACTGGAAATCCGGCATTCCAGTATCCCATATTATAGCGCAGATGGCCTTGGATCGCGATGATTCTCATTTGAGAACTCAATTACCATTCCTACCTGGGCTCCAGAGGTGCTCCTCTTCGAATCAAACGACGCGTTCTCGCGCCCAATCTTCACCGAGGAACCTTTGCTTCAATGGGGAACATTTTGGCATTGGGAAGTCGTAGGTGGAGACGGGTAGAGATTCAATTGGAACGTTGGGCGACGATTAACCAGCCAGCTGCGTCTTTCATGATTCGTCGTGAAGATCACTGTATTTTGTGTCACGATGCGTATCTGCACTCAAGTCTCATACATATTCCTACCCTCTCTGTCGACAAAATTTGTTTAAATTAAACGGTAGGCTTGATGTTTCCAAGTATACGTTTGTGTAAATATGTCGGTGTGCGTATAAGTATATACATGCATAAGCTTATTCGTATACTAATTTATACTGAAAAATTCATTCGGTTACATCACAACTATCATTTAATTTACTCGAACTTGTTCGATTGACACTAAGGGTACGAATATTTATGGGATTGACTGTACGTCGTGACGAATATATGTATATACGAATATAATACGCAAATATGTATATATTCATATATACACACACATACTTGGTCAGGTGTGCATTGAAATAATGAATATATGTATATACGAATATAATATGCAAATATATATACATATATATATATTTGCATATTATATTATATACACACATACTTGGTCAGGTGTGCATTGAAATAATGAATATATGTATATACGAATATAATATAATAATATAATATGCAAATATATATATTTATATATATTTGCATATTATATTCGTATATACATATATTCATTATTTCAATGCACACCTGACCAAGTATGTGTGTGTATATATGAATATATACATATTTGCATATTATATTCGTATATATATATATACTTGGTCAGGTGTGGATGGAAATAACGAATGAGGTACCATAACGTCCGAATATTAAATACGAGCCCCAGCTGACTGGTTAAAAGCACCGCGCAACGATTTGTTCAGGCATCCAAATCTTCCTTTTATTAAACAACAATAGTAGCAACAGTCGACGATTGACGCTGTCGCGAAGAGGAAAATTGCGACGAGCTATACTTTGATTCCTTCGAGTGAATTTGATATTCGGAACGCATTCTTGGACGCCCTTTTCAGGCATGAATACGCGACGAACTCGATTCGTAGTCCGCGTCGCATTACTCGAATACTCGATCACAGCGCGGAGTAATCAGATACTCAAGTATTCCGATACTCCCGGACATTTGTATAATTAAATTTCGGGACGAAACCGCGCGATACAGAGTCAAAGATCCTTACTTACTTGGAGGAACGCCCGACGCACATGCGCACGATAATTAACGCTCGAAATTTGGTTTGCACGCGCGGGTTTTGTTCGCGCGTACAGGGAAAGCTTTCCTACGACCCTCTAGTGCGCGACAGTTTCGTTGGAGGGTTTTTATCGGTAAAGTCTGGTCGATCCAGAAAAAAGTGAAAACTGGTCTATCCGGTCGAGTCAGCCTTCTCAGCGGCCAGTGGCAAAGAAAAGAAATAAGCGCGTCGCGGTTCAGCACAAGGTGATCTCGCAGAGGTAGGGATTGGTGTCGTCGCAGTTGGTGTCGTCGAAGCCTCCCTGGTCTTCCAGGACGCCGCAGTTCTGTCGTCCGCCGGCGTTGTCGGGCTGATTGGGCCATATCTGGGACCATTTGTCGAAACCGGCATCGTCCAGAGTCTCGCCTCCCACGGTTACCCACAGACCTTCCTCGAACTGATCGTGAATGCCTACCCAGGCGCGATCGAAGCCTTCCCTTTTCATCCAATCTATCAACAGCTTCTCCTCGCGCTCAGAGTTTATGACGGCCAACCGACCTATCGAACAACCATTCCCCGTTTAATTCGCTTTTAAACGATCTGCTCGCTGGCTTCGTCCGAGCGACGGTACAGCTTGTCGTTCGAAGAATCTAACTAATTCAATTGGATCATCTATGAAACTCTAAATCAACTCTAAATCAACTCTAAATCAACTCTGAAAGAAGAAACAGTCGAACGCCTCAAAATAAATTAGAAGCTCGAGTTTTCAAAACTATCGTCTCGATTTCGTCGTGGTCTCGAGTCTCGGCTAAGGAATTAACAAAATGATTCGAATCACCTCCTTCGTACGCGCAAGACCTGCGAGCATGATTCCACGTCAATCTGCGGCGGTGCAGCTTGTGAGCACCTACTCCTGCAGCGACAACGTAGTCGTCCCTGTGCACGACGCTGATACAATTATCCAAGCGTCTGCGCCGCGTGTCTGGCGATCCGTTAATGAAAAATATCTGCTGCGTCGCCTGGTAATTAAAGTGACCGTTCAAGTTAACTACCGACGGTGAATCTGGAAAAAACAGTGGTCCCAGAGTGAGAACCGCGTCCTCCTCTTTCTTTTCCTTCGGAACTCTATCCAATTTCGGCTCTTAATCCGTACGAAGACACCGTTTACCTGGACGCGTTCCGTTGGCCTGCCTCTTCTGTCTTTCACTCGGTTCGAGTACGTCGACTACGGTTGACCCTTCGTTCCAAAGTATTCCACTCGCGAAAACGAAGAGAATTAGCGAGAGCTTGTACATCTCGGCGACAACCTCTACGAGCAATCTACCGACAAAAATGACATCGAGTGAGCAGCGATAGACGCGCACGAAACTCTGACTCCATGTTCCTTCGATCGATGAATTAGGACGTTGCGCTGGTCCTCAGCCTCTCTATTACTCGCGTAACGTCTGCTGTATCTAGAAATTACTCCAGCCTTACAATTCCCAGTGGTAACGTTCACTCTCTTAGACCTCTGACGTCACAAAAAAACTCTCGGAACTTGTTCTCGAATGAAGTATGCGGATACATCGCAAGATCCCCGCTGAGAAGAGGTTCTAGGAAAGGAAATACGGAGACACGAGTGCCTGCTAATCGAAAGATCTGGTTCCACGCGTGCAAACCAAATTTCGAGAGCCCTTTATATAAAACCGAAACGGAGAGGTAAGCGGTTCCTCGGTGCGCGTAAAACTTGCTCCTTTGATTCGTGAATCATCGTGACAACAAATTTCAACCAGTCGTTCGAAGTCGTGCTGTCTCTCAACGCGTCACCCTCGATCGTAAATGATTCTTAAACCAAGCACGATGTGTGCCTTTACGTACCGTTCCGTGGCTTTTCGACGCGTTTGTAAAAATCCTGCAAACGATCGATCCTCGAAGCTCTTCGCCGTTCACCGATCGATCGAGAAACAATCCAGGCAACGTTCGCTCGACGACGGAGACGATCAGCCACGGTTCGCGGGGATTCACCGACTGGGCGTCGTCAGCGTGCTTCAGACACGGGCAATAATTTTTACTCGGCGGAGTAGTGGTTCCAGTATTTCCAACCTATCGACCAGCTCATCTCGCGAAATCCCCACTATCGCAACAAGAGTCCCGTGGTGGGATAATCGAGCGAGTGCGGATAGATGTTAGCATACTTTAATTTCAATAATAAGCGACGAATACAATGCGTAGCTCTTAGTCGACGACTCTTCTCGATGTAACGCGACGACTACTCGACGCACGACGTACCCCTCGAATTCGACTCGCGCGTACAAAAATGATCCAGTTTCGATCAGCGGACGGTCGCAGACGCAACGGAATCGTTCGGATGGATATATTCGTCGTACAATCATTTTTGCTGCGTCGAACTGGTCGATCCTGTTCCGTCAACTTTTTTTGCTCGTAATTTGAAAGAAGTTTCGCGTCGCGGTTTACCACGTTGATCGCCGCGTCGCCCGTACATGGGCACGGAACTAAATAAATTAATTTCGAAGAGAATTGATCCGCGCAGGATTCGCGAATTCGACGAGGTCGCGAAAAGAAGTACTAGTTTAAATGCGACAAACGTAAGTTTCAGTTGCATAGGAAGAAAGCGTTAGGTGGATGCGTTAACACAAGCTGATCTCGCAGATGTACGGAAGCGTCGCGTCGCAGTCTATGTCGTCGTAGCCGCCCGATTTCTCCAGGACGCCGCAGTTCTGTCGTCCACCCAAATTGTCGGGCAGGTTCGGCCAATTCGTCGACCATCTCTCGAACCCTGTAGCCTCCAACGACTCGCTGGCCACGGTTAACCACTCGCCCTCCTCGTACAGATCGTGGATTCCTACGAAGGCGCGTTCAAAGTTCTCCCTTCCTATCCAACTCGTCAACAGCTTCTCCTCGCGATCCGAGTTCAACACGGCCAACTGACCTATCGAACAACGGCCCCTTGTTTAATTCCGTTTTAAACAGGAGACGCTCTCGCCGTTTCGAAGACCACTTTCGATTAAACAACTACACGGTACAACTATACGTCGAATACCAAACTAAACGATTCGAATCACCTCCTTCGTTCAGGCAGGACTTGCGAGCTTGATTCCACATCAGTCTGCGTCGGTGAAACTTGTGAACGCCTACCCCCACGGTGATAACGTAGTCGTCCCTTTCTACGTAGCTCACGCAACTCTTGAGACCTTTGCGGTGCTTCTGTGGCATTCCGTTAATGAAAAATATCTGCTGCGTCGCCTGGTAATTAAAGTGACCGTTCATGTTCACTACCGACGGTGAATCTGGAAAAAAACAGCGGTTCCACGGTGAAACCCGCGTCTTCCTCTTTCTCTTCCTTCGGAACTCCATCCATTCTCGGTTCTTAATCCCGTAAGAGGACACCGTTTACCTGAACGCGTTCCGTTGGCCTGCCTCTTCTGTCTTTGACTCGGTTCGAGTACGTCGACTACGGTTGACCCTTCGTTGCATAGTATTCCACTCGCGAAAACGAAGAAAATTAGCGAGCGCTTGTACATCTCGGCGACAACCTCTAACGGGCAATCTACCGACAAAAATGACATCGAGTGAGCAGCGACGGCACTCGAGAACCCCTTGGCTTGTTCCAATCTCGTCGCAATCAACGCCGACAACGGTCAGATTTTCGGAGACCGAGTCTCTATCCCGTCGCGACGAGATCTTCTAATCGAAGCAAGAGTTCCAAGCCCTCCGAGACTAGTTCCGCGTACGCAAACCAAATTTCCAGCGTTCCTCGACGGAGAAATCGTGGAATTTTTGCTCGATTCCAGGATACTTTCGTCGAAACGATGCGATGTGATTACTCTTCGAAATTAAAAGCGCGGACAAGCACCTACAGCGAGCATCGCGCGTAAATGTTTTGGATATTCCATGGCCAGCGATATTCCCCAAAGGATCGCGAAACGACCGTAGCATTGCATCGCGATAAGCGGATTGGACGCATTTGCGGCGTATGCAAATGCGAGACACGCGTGCAAAGCGTATTCGGAATACACGTAAACGACAACGTACAAATATAATTATATTGATCTATAAAATTACACGTCCGTGTTTGGCGCGATCCGTAAAATCGCGGGACGGCGATAACGTTTCGAAAACAATATTTATGCGCGGCAATTTGATAACAAAACTCGGGAGCTCTGTCGATCGAGTATTCGTGCATTGTCCAGATCTTGCTCGACGCGATACGCGATTAGTTTTGCGTATCAGGAATGAATCGACGTATATCCCCTGTCGATCGTTCCTGGCAACAATGCTCGTGAAAATTTGGAAGAAAACAAAAATGTTCGAGCGTGAAAACAAATTTAAAAAAAAAAGAAGTAACGATTCGGTGCAAGGAAAATGCGACGAATTCTAGACGTGCTCTAGAAAAGCTTGGATAGCGATTGAAACGTCGTCGGTCGACGCAGCACTCTGGGAAACTACTCGATCCGGCGTAACGTTTAAGCGTAATAGGGTGTATTCTTTTACGTACCGACCTATCGGGTATTTTCTAACAATCCTGCGAACGTACGATACTCGAAGCGTTTCACTGTTCACCGGTGGATCGTGAAAGACCCGCGCAACGTTTGCATAGAATCGATGGCTGCAAACGAGCGGCAACGGTTCGCGAGGACTCACTGACTGCGCTCGCTGCTGCTGACCGCGAGCTTCTGCGTGATTGCCTCCTATCGTCACCGCCTTCTTCCTCTCTTCGACGATCTTCGATGCGGGGTCGTCTTCCTCTTTGTCGCTCGCGCCAGCCAAACTGGAAATCCGGCATTCCACGAGCACGGATCGCTACACCGCGGACCTTGAATCGCGACGAGTCGCGCTCGATGAGTCAATTCGCGCGCGAGACAAACTCGTTGTTCCGATCGGACGAGAAGGACGGTGAACAGGAAAACTGTAGCACCGTCACAGCGATATATACGCGCCTGTTTATTCGTCGAATGTTTCGATGGCATATTATATAGCGCGTTGCTCAGGACGTGCCAGGGCAATTCGATTGGCTGTCGCGTGGTATGACGATCGTGGTACAGCCTCGGTATTGGCCGATACGTGTCGAGATAAACTGAGAGAGCAATTGGAGGCAATGGCAACATTGGCGTAGAGACAGTCTACGTTTATCGAAGAAGTTTCGCTAAAGTAAATGATAGTTTCGATATTATCAAACGAATTGTTCGATATAAATATGTATACGAATACAGAAGATCAAAATCGTCGGAAAGCGGTCGAAATGGCTTGGAATGCCCCGGAATACATCTTAATACATTTAAACCGGAGATTTAAACAAGTTTCAACGACAGAGGGTATATGAATATTTATGGGGACTGATTGTATGTATAAAAAATAAAAAAAAAAATAGAAATTCTTGCAAGATACACTTTGTATCCAGTCGACGATGTGGCGTGGACCACGACTGCTCGAAAGAGAGGCGGAACCCTGTTGTCTCTCTCCCTTCCAGTTCATAGGTGAATATTGAAATCGTGCTAATTTGAACAAAAATCTTGATTATAATAAACGAAGAGACGTCGACGGAATGCGAACGCGAAAGAAAGGACGCGAGATGGAGCATCTGAGGTTTGTTTGTTTGTTTGTTTGTTTGTTTGTTTGTTTAAAGTGTAGAGGCTGAAAAGGTCCCTATCACGGTACGACGTGGTACAACATATATGAAACTGTGTGAAAAAAAAAATGTTAGCCTCCGTGGTGGATGGTACGAGCGGAAGCAGGAACCGCGTGCTTCCTTGGCGATGCATCGAACGGATATTACCGTTTCTCGATCGGCTGCCAGAAGCGATCGGAATAAGAAGGGCGGGAGAGGAGGGAAGGGCAAGGGACGAATATCGTTCCAATAGGGACGTCGCCGACTGGAATCGCATCCGGCGAGAGAGGAAGAAACAAAGAGGACAAAGTTTGGTTACGTACGGGATAAAAGTGGCCCGAAACGCGCCACCAAAAGCCGAGCGGAAAGATGAGAAAATCCTGCGAACGGATTCGCCGAATACGGCCGACTCGGGGGAAAATTGGAAGGTGGAGGAGGGAACGGAGGATACGGTAAGCAGGGATTAAAGCAACGACCGGACGGAAATTACGTACAATATAAGACGATTAATGGAGTCGGGTAAATTGGGAACGTAGAAGGCGAATTCGTCGCGGATGGAATTAGTCGGCGAGTTATAATTCGTCGCAAGCTTGTTTGGCTGTTTGAAAGATAAACGAGAGGGATGCGGACGGACTCGCGGACCGTAGTTATCCTATGAAAACGTCTGAACGAGAAGAGAAACTTTTCCGCCAGGAATATTCTATCATAATAAATTCAAAGTTTCTACGAGACGCGCAACGATACCGTGTCAACACTGAACCGAGGTTTCATTTCTACCTAATTCTAACGTGACCGAACAAAACGACCAGTCTCGAAGACACTCCTTTCGCTTAACTGAACAACGTATTAAACGTATTAGCACGAAACAATCGTATTAAAGACTGTAGAATATTTAGCAAAAGAAAACGTTGGAACGTTATTCGACGGTTTTTGAACGATTCGGGAGACATCAACTGCAGAGCCCGTGGCTCGCAACGGACGGATTGTTCTGCTGATTACATGCTAACTGAATTCATCGATCTTCCCGTGTTGCTACTACGTCGAACGTTTGTTCCAACTGCCATATTGCATCGCAGCTGACAACAATGGCATCGCGAACTGGCTCGATGGCATCGTTATTCCCAATGATGGGAAGGCGCATGTAGCGTAAGCTCGGTACCGTGTTTCCTGCGGTAATTTCAAACTCGACATGGTGGTTGGTTTGCGCCGTCCTCGTAATTTCAGCGAATCGAAAATATTGTTCCGCCGGTGGGTATAGAACTTTAGAACGCGATTTCCTCGAGGCTACGTTTCTCGAACGTTGCTGGCGATAAACGACGGATTTAAAATTCGTCGACGAGAACAATAATTATAATAATAATAATAATAATAATAATAATAACAATAGCTTATTTACGGGCAACCTGCTCTTGATATCGAGTACAATGTAATAACAACGACAACAAGAAAAACGAAACAAGAATGGAGACGATTACGATATCTTATAACGTAACGTGTTCGAACTTGATTGCGCATCTGCAAAATTGCAACGACTGACCTTTTAAATGCTACAGGTGAGCCATGAAAAAGATCAACAGCCATATTTAAGGCTGTTAGCCATCGCACACATTCTCGTGTACAATTCTCGTAACACAATTTTCTTTCGCAATTGAGGTACGATCTGGGATCGATGTAAAAGATATCGCTGCTTCGAAAGTTGTCTACTTGGAATATGAAACTTCAATAGTTCCAGTATCCCGGGACATTCGATTTTACTATCGACAATTTTAAAAACTAGCACGAAGTCTGCTACAGTTCGGCGCTGCTTAAGCATGAACATTCGCATAGTGCAAAGTGCAATGTGCAAATTGCAAAGTGGTTTGCTATATCCATAGGTGTACCTATCGTATAAATCCTTAGAAATATGAAGCTCGAAAGCGTTTTAATTACATCGCGCGAGAGGAGCGCGATCGCCTAAAAAAGTTAATTCTTTCCTCTCGGAAATATACCAGCCCCCCCCGGACCGATCGATCCTGGCGCTAAAAAAAAACCCACGAGAATTTTGGTAAGCTTTACGCTGCAAAAAGGCATACTCGCGGTGAAACTGGGTCGAATCAACAATGTTCGGGCCAGCTTCTTCGATATCGATACCGAAATCCCGCCCAATATTCTCCCCGGGCGCGAATTTAGATCTCGCAGATTGGCCACGCGCCGTGTTCCCAATCCTGGCCAACGGTCTGGAATCGACCGTTCGCGACATGCCGGAAGAAAAAATTCGCCGACGTTTCTCGGCCAATCTACCAAGGATCTCGTAACCGTCCGGCGACGAAGAACATCGTTACGCTCGGATGCGGGACCCGCAGAGATCTCTCGTCGTCTTCGCCTCGCTAACCGTGTTTTCCGGCAAATTTCAGCGGAGCTCGGCGATCTCGAATCGATGATTCCGGTAAATTAATACCAGCCCGTTCGGCAAACGTCGAGTGCCAGATTTCCCTCTCGAACGGTACCCTTTGATCGTTCAACCTCTCGTCGTACCTGGGTTCTCGCGTGTGCGGCGCGAAACGCTCGAAAAACCACGATTTCGCGAAACGTCGCGCGCTAAAATCCCGATTTCATCGTGTTTTTACAGTCGTGGGAAACGCAAGCGTATACCACCAAACGCACGAGGAACTGCGGACGGTGTAATAATTGCATGGGTTGCACGCGCGTATGGAAATACGTTTAGCGTAGAGTACAAGGGTCGTGGTCTCGCGGATCAGGCACCGATTCGTTGTTATTTTTGAAGACGCGGACGTTAGAAACGCTTTGCAACGAAGCGTTCGCGTCGAGTCACTCTAAAACCGGATCTTAAACATTGTTTCTCGCTACAAAAGCACCTGCACTTCGTTTTCGAGGCTCCAAGGTATCGTCTGAAAAGAAAAATCGAATTTTTTTGAAATTTCCGAACGGCGTTACGTCTCTTGATATCCCGAATTCCGTGGCCTCTCGGGGTCAAAGAACGCGTCGACTATCGAGCCGCTATTCGGCGGTGCTCCGAACGTAAACTTCTCGGCTGGAGAATTCGGCTGGTAGGACGGGGAGACGGCGAACAATAGGCTTCGCTCGCTCAACGATATTCGAGGGCGACGTACCTGCGAGATTAGTCGCGGAATTCCAAAAGGACCATCGGCAGCCAAAGAGTTTCATCTCGCGCTCCTTCATCCCCGAGGCGCGTTCAACCGCGAGGACGCCAAAGAGACGACGGCTGGCTCGTCCTGATTCACGAAATCAACCATCGGTTGGACGCTCTTCCGTAATCCAAACTGCATTCACGGAACCACAATTTCCTCCTAAAAGGGCTCCGCGTTCGCGCGCTCTCGCCGTCCTATCCAAATCGTCTAATCCAAACGAGATTTCGCCAGCCGCGCCGCGGATCTCGCGTTTACCGTTAACATCGCGTTCCGTTCGCTCCCGTTGGCTAGACGATTCTCTTCGCTCTCTCCATCGGGAAACCTACGATATTCGTCCTTAGGCGAGCGGAACGCGCCACGACCGTCGTCTCGCCTTTCGATTAATCCTTTCGTCGAGAACAAACGGATGCGACGCTTGGAACACGAGATTTCCAGAACTGACGAACGATATACAGTAAAGAACGCGTGCAAGAGACTTGTTCGAGACCCGAGGATTTATTGTGGAACCTCCCCCAGAACGGAAAAATCTCCGTTCCAGTGCTGAATTATTTAGGATAGAACAGAGAGCGAAAGAAAAAGAGGCCCGAGAAAATAAAGGAGTCGACAGAAGCGTATAAAAATCGGTAAAGGAGCATGTTACACTTGCTCGCTCGCTGAGTGGTGGGGATAGTCTTCTTGTATTTATTCAGTTAATCCTGTCTTGCGCGTATCCAGTCTCGTTTAAGCGTCCGCGACGAATCGGACGTTCTTTCCGCGACGCTTTGGTGGCTCCTCGAACGATAGCCTCGGGTAAAGTCGCTGAAAATCCACGATCTATCGTAACAATCCCGATTGGCCATAAAGTTCGACGGGCTAATGGGTCGGCCTGATGAGATACGGCCTGCCTGCGATACGATTTATCGGCAGAAAGGACCGTTCGTGTCGAGTTTCCGCAGCACCAGCGACGATATTTGCAGTCGAGTCAGCTACGTCCCTGGAATAACTTGGCGTACGACGAGCGCGTGGAAATCGACGAGCGCGTGGAAATCGACGAGCAAGTGTTACTCGCGAAGAATACGAGGGCTTTCGGTAACGGAGAGCTTTCGTATCTGCAACGGATGGTCCCTTCGGAGGATTCTTAGTTCTAAACGTCGACCGTGTCGCTGTCCCGAGGCCGTTGAACGCGATATCACGGTAACGGTGCGCACGTTCCCCTGTCTCCATATTATGCAAATGCTCGGTTAGATTCGCGGCGTTACGTTCCATCTTGGCGAGTGGTTAATAATACATCTGCCAGTAACGGGCTACCGTCGGTTTCCGTTGATTTAGGCGCGGTGTCACGGAAGATTAAGGACCTAGGTGTCGCGTATACGAGCAGTGCCTCTCAGGGGAAGTCCGGATTCGAGGGGAGTCGCTTAAATTCGTGTTCGCGGTCATCGATGCAACTTCGCTACGTCTAATTTTGATCCTATTGTTTGATTAATTCTAATCTTTATTTTCGTATCTTGAACGCGTCGTACGAACGAACTGTGTATAGATGAAAAAAGTTCCGTCTTGTCGTTCTCTGCAAGATAATGTATAGTTTTTATATCGATAGAACGTAAAATGGAAGTAAAATAATAATAATAATACAAAATTGTCACAAGTCGAGTTTTTGAATGCCGAAGCTGAGTCATGAAAAATAGTTGCGGCATGCTACAGATCTATCGATCTTGCAAGAGACGTACTTAAAGAATTCCTGTCGAACACTCTCAATCATTTTCGTAAGACCAGTTTGTAATGGATTCCAGAGACGAGATGCGAATTCGAGACGCGGTGGAAGTTTGTTCGCGGCGAGTTTGGCCGTCTCCGAGACAGAAAATTGCACGTGCAGCAGCGAGGATCTCTCCGACGATATGTTCGGTTTCTCCATGAACACTCGACACGAACTATCGCGTGCCACGTCCGAACAAGAACCACCGTTTTCGATGGTAAACGCTCGCCGCGGCGAAATCTGCCCGAGAGATCGAGCGAACGGCGTCAGGTGCATCCGACCGTTTTCAATAAGTTACACTCGACACGAGTCAGCCAACGTCGAGAGCAGTTTTGCAGTCGCCATCGATCTCGAGATCACCGCGTCAGCCCTCCTCCGTGATATGCTGGCAATTCCAGCAACCGTTCGGGCTTTTTCCAGCAGGGGATTCCGCGATGCGAGACCTGCTTCCGTGGATCCAACCGGAATTCCAAATGTGACGGACAACTGCGAAGTACCAGCCCAGCTATCAATTTACACGAATCGTCCATCGATCTTCGATCCCTGCCACGGGAAACGAACGACGCGACGCGTTCGGAAACCGGAAACTACCTATAGTTTCTATAGTATAGTACCTATTCTTCCGATACCCGAACGATGGTTACTGGTACGCAATTTACAGGTACGTCCCTTCAGGTTTTCTTCGACCTGTCGTAAACGCACTTTCTGACAATCGCTCTACACCGCGGAGCATATGACTATACCACCACTCGTATGCCGAAAAGAGAGCTTGGAAGTCTGATTTTCCAAATGAGATTCGAAAAGATGTCGATGTGTTTATTATTCGAACAATTTCGACGTTTACTTTGTTTACTTTGTTAACTTTGAATAGAAGAAGATTAATATAAAACTCCGTTATTCGTCGCATGCTATAAACTCACTCGTACAATTGAATTTCTTTTTCATCCCTACTCGAACAACGGAAAAGTAAAGAAATGTAGGTGGTGCTATAGTTACGTTCTACGGTGTATACCCTATACCTAGAATCCTCGTCGTGTACGATGCAACCGAAATAGAGAGACGGAGCTTCCCCTTTATTTTTACCCGTGGACGATATGTCACGGCGGGAGTACCTTCCTCCAGACAGATATACTTAGACCCCAACGTAAGATGCACGGAACATCGAAAGTTTTCTTTATTCCATTACGCTGTCTCGCGTCGAGCATGGAATTCGTTTTCGGAATCCATATTTCAGCGTCGCCGGGAGAATAGGAATATATCCGCGGGATAATACCGTAACCGGCGTCGCGGAACTAAATTAAAGGATCGTGTCGACGTCTCGATCTTTGCTTCGACTCCTCGATGGAAATGATCGTTAATTAAATTAACATCGTTAAATTAACATCGTTAAATTAACATCAATTACCAATTGGCGTGACTGGTTCGTGTTAACAATTGGCAAAGCCATAAGAACCATAAAACATGTAACAAATCGAAGGAAACGTAAAGCGGACAACAAATCGGTCCACGTACTCAACGTCCGTTGCACGGTAAGGTTTTTATTCGGTATCAAAGGAAAGCCAGCGACAAAGATCCAGCATTTCTGGTAACTACGAGCCAGACAGGGATGGATGCCAGCGCCTGAAAGGTACATCTCGCATCTCCGAAATGGCTACGTCGCCGGCACGTCCCTTTCTATCGCCTGGCCATCTAAAATGGAAAACTTTCCACTATTTTTCCACCCCGGGTCGTTGGTCGCGTCCAAAGTACTTCCGCGACGAAGGTCGCGAATAAAATCAATCGAGGCTTCGGCGCGACGATTTCGAACAAATACGCGGCCAACCGTGCCCAAATCCACGAGAAAACGACATCGATCTCGTCTACCAAGGCGCGTTACCATCGAACCAGGCCTCCTCGATCGATCGCATTTCCATACGAGTCGACGGCACACTTGTAGCGCGTAGAATCGTAATGGTGTACTGATACACGCGGTCGAATAAATTGTTACCATTGCAAAGCCCCCTTCAAAGGTCGAAAGGGGGGAACAAACGTATTTCGTAAAACCTGTAAACGTAACATACAATAGGATCGTTCCGAGCGAAATGGAATACTTTTCGAAAGGATTCGCGCGAAACGAAAATATTTAACCGGAACTGTTGGCGCGCGTTGCAGCTCAAACAACAAATTACCGAGCGATTCAACAATCCTCGCTGATTACCCGACTATTTATCCCGCAAATAATCCCGGACGAGCCGAATTTTGTAAAATAACTCGCTGCCCCTGTACGCGAAAATTCCTTCGCGGGAATCGCGCCGCGGTTTCATTCGTACGAGCCAGACGACGAAAAGTATACAGGGGATGTTTTGCGGAGCAGGTGAAAATCCGCTCGATCACAGCGGATAGACGACGAATATATTTTCGGTGGACACGTGTTTCGGTTTAAACGCGAATTTCGTAAATTTTTGGTTTGAAATTGTACGACGGAGCGGACCAAGGATTCGATTTAAACGATAAATTTAGTAGGAGATGGAAAATGGCTGTTTGGCTGTTTGGCTGTTTGGCTGTGAACCGAAAGTCGTTCTTAACGCACTTTACGCAGAAGATAAACTCCAACAAACTTTATTTATAATTTACACAACATAATGTAATCGAAACGAAATATTTTACATGCATCGTACGTAACGCGACGAGCAAAGCTTTCGCAATTCTTCTATCTCGCCTCGGTTTCAGAAATTGAAATAGACGATGCACGTGCGATCGTTGAGTATACGCGAACTTCTCACCAGCGAGAGTGCACCGAGTAAGATGTTTCGCGCGCGAAACCGTTCGAAGGAAACGTGCATAGTCGACGAAGCGCAACGTACCGAAGTGTGGACTTCCAGGGGTGAAAAAGGGTTGCGCACCGCTGAGTCGAACGGTTAAAATTGACCACCGCGTATCGCGGGGAATCCGTGGAACCTATTATTCCGGAATCGATCGTCCGCGCGAAATGAAAATCCGTGGGATTCCCGTCGTTGGGGAAAATCACTTGTCTCGCATGGTTTTTCTACACCAGCGGGTTTAACGATCCGTTTCGAAAGCGAATTACAGACAAGCACGGGCCACGGGGGCGCGCGATTTAATATTAGTCCGTCGCTTACCGGGCGGTACGGGCGTCATCGGAGGAAATAATACAATGGCCGGTTCATTTCGAGAGCTTCTCGTCGAAATTGTCGCGGTACGCTGCGGTAAAAATATTCGAAATACCTGGTATTTCAGGTAATTCAGGTACTTCGATTACGTCAGACGGGAATTCGACAGATGTTACACAGAGTGTTCCCTGTTAATTTTACGAATCGTGGAATTTCGATATGGTCATGATTTGCTGGAGCGATATTAACCATTTGACGGTCGCGAACTCCTTCCCGAGGTTACGTGGCAAACAGTTCCTTTCATCGTTCCTTATCGACGCTCCAGATGTCGATGCCGCGTAAATTCTCCCCGTTTCCGTTCAGCCCGAATTTCTCGATAATCCAAAGCGTTCCGGTGATTCCTCGCGGCAAGTTTTTTGCCCGCGAGAAATCCAAAGAACGCCGCGAAGCTGGCAACCGGCGAGCTGGCTCCGCGTCAAATAAATTACGCCAGGGAAGGAATTATGCCGGCGCGTTTCCACCGGTACCTTCGCCTCGTCAAATTGCCGCGATTATTTTGGATTACGGCAATTAATCGGTGCACGCGTACGGCGCGATTTGATGCACGAGTCGCAGCGACGGCGTGCCGGACTCGGGCCGCGATCGTCGCTTCTCTGAAAACGGGCCGCCTAATGCCGACGATTAATCACTGCTATCCGGGTGAACCGACTAATTGCTCGGTGTGCGCCACTCTCCCGCTTCCGCTCGATTGTTAGGTACACACACGGAAGCGGGCGCGCGCACACATCGCCCACGCTGGAAAAAAAAAATAGAAGAGAGAATTAGTCGAATTCGTTCGATTCCAGCGTGTGTCTGCGCCTCGCCGATAAGTCCTGTAACAGGACTCTGCGTTCGTTACTTTTCCTGATAACTCGATCGTTTCCGTCTCCCTCGATCTCGCTCCTCGCGTCGCTGTTCCAATTTTATTCCATTTATTTAGTTATTTAGTTATTTAGTTTAACGTCTTCGGGGTCAAAGCAGACTGTGCTTAAATTTTGGTACCATGGGTGGAAAGGGCGTGTTTGCTCGCGTATTTATTCGAGTATAGTAGGATAGTATAGTAGGATAGTATAGTAGGATAGTATAGTAGGATATAGGTTTAATTATAGGCGCAATTAAATTCGCCAAAATCTTCCTACCCTCTTCTATATACTGTATATAAGAAAATACTGTATGTACTTACCGTCTTTGGAACTCCTTTCGAAAGTATCTCGCAAGAGAGAGACGGCGGAAATTACACTTGTTTAACACCGCACCTTAACACCTAGCCCGAACGTTTCTAGCGAAGAATAATTAATCGATCGAAGAGGAAAAACAAATTACAAAAATTACGTTTCCCGTTGAACGAACGAGTGTTTGCTCGAGTAAATCGTTGAGTCGATCAAACGTCGCGAACAAAATTTCGTCTCTGATATTTTCGAGCACGCCGAACGAGTGTTAATTTCACGTTGTCCGATCGAGCTCCGTTCCAAATGCGAAATAAAAAGCGTTAGAAAGCACTCACCCGAAGCCGGATGCAACTCCATCCGCGAGAAGTACTCACCTGGAACAGAAAACAAACATAAACCGCTTTATTAAAATCGTCTTCGTCGAAACGAAGCTATCGGACCGTGGGATCGGTTCGGGAGAATCAATTTTTTCGCGAGCGGCGAGGGAGGGAAAACCTAAATGATAAACAATCAAAACGGACGGGCGAAAAGCCGCAGCAGGGGATTCACGATCGGCTGCCGTGCTCGATGGCTCTCCCAATGACGCTTATTATTATAAATGCATCGGTTGGCCATGTACCAGCGCACCTGACCAGTATTTACGATGGCTGATAATCCAGCGGTGCATAAAATATCGCATCACCGATGGAAAATGCGTGAGAGAAAAACGAAGTCGATCCCGAACGATCTACCGGTGCAAGAGTATGTTTCTTTCGTGCCATTTCAGGGGCCTTTTTTTACCTTTTCGGTATTTAAGTTCTTCTTAACGGCATACAGGGTGTCCCAGAATTAGTGTAAGAACCGGAAATAGGGGAGGGGGGGGTAGCTGAGACGATTCCGAAGAATTTTGCATTTCCTTTGCAAAAATGTCGGCGGAGACAAACGAATGTCGAAGACGAGGCAGTAACGAAAAGAAATCTGGATAAGGTTCGTGAATTTTTTCGAGGTTGTAAAACGATATACCAGAACAAGTATCGGTATCGTCTAATATTCGATAGCGCCGAAACAAAATTTTTACCCTTCATTTTTGAATTATTAACGGAAAATCATCGAGCCAGCCTCTCGCGCGCTACTCGGTGGTTTTTCGTTGATAATTCAAAATCGAAGCCCCCACCGACATTTTTGCAAAGGAATATGTTGCTCAGAATCGTGTCAGACTAACTCTGGAACACCCTGTCTCCGTAAATAATGTTCGTTAACGCATCAGTTCGTAAATGTACAGCGTGGAA